CACCGGACACCCTGTGTACCCCACTGTTACATATACCCCCTGACACCCTGTATACCCCACTGTTACATATACCCCACACCTTGTGTACCCCACTGTTACATATACCCTGACATCCTGTAAAATTCCCACTGTTACATATACCCCACACCTTGTGTACCCCACTGTTACATATACCCCTGACACCCTGTGCACCCCACTGTTACATATACCCTGACACCCTGTGTACCCCACTGTTACATATACCCCAGGTACCCTGTGTACCCCACTGTTACATATATCCTGACACCCTGTGTACCCCACTGTTACATATACCCTGTACACCCACTGTGTACCCCACTGTTACATATACCCTGACACCCTGTGTACCCCACTAACATATACCCGACACCTTACATATATTACATATACCCTGTGCCTTGTACCCACTGTTACATATACCCCGACACCCTGTGTACCCCACTGTTACATATATCCCTGACACCCTGTGCACCCCACTGTTACATATACCCTGACACCCTGTGCACCCCACTGTTACATATACCCCACACCCTGTGCACCCCACTGTTACATATACCCCACACCCTGTGTACCCCACTGTTACATATACCCTGACACCCTGTGTACCCCACTGTTACATATACCCCTGACACCCTGTGTACCCCCACTGTTACATATACCCTACACCCTGTGTGTACCCCACTGTTACATATACCCTTACACCCTGTGTACCCCACACTGTTACATATACCCCGACACCCTGTGCACCCCACTGTTACATATATCCCGGACACCCTGTATACCTCACTGTTACATATACCCGACACCCTGTGTACCCCACTGTTACATATATCCGGACACCCTGTGTACCCCACTGTTACATATACCCCGACACCCTGTGTACCCCACTGTTACATATACCCTGTGCACCCTGTGCACCCCCACTGTTACATATATACCCTGACACCTTGTGCACCCCACTGTTACATATACCCGACACCCTGTGTACCCCACTGTTACATATATCCCGACACCCTGTGTACCCCACTGTTACATATACCCCACACCCTGTGTACCCCACTGTTACATATACCCGACACCCTGTGTACCCCACTGTTACATATACCCGACACCCTGTGTACCCCACTGTTACATATATCCCACACCTGTTACATTTGTTACATATATACCCCGGCACCCCTGTGTACCCCACTGTTACATATATCCTGACACCCTGCATGTGTACCCCACTGTTACATATATACCCGACACCCTGTTACATACCTCACTGTTACATATATCCTGACACCCTGTGTACCCCACTGTTACATGTACCCTGGCACCCTGTGTACCTAACTGTTACATATATCCCGACACCCTGTGTACCCCACTGTTACATATATCCCACACCTTGTGTACCACACTGTTACATATATCCCGACATCCTGTGTACCCCACTGTTACATATACCCCACACCTTGTGTACCACACTGTTACATATATCCCGATACCCTGTGTACCCCACTGTTACATATATCCCGACACCCTGTGTACCCCAATGTTACATATACCCTGACACCCTGTGTACCCCACTGTTACATATACCCTGGCACCCTTTGCACCCCACTGTTACATATACCCCGACACCCTGTGCACCCCACTGTTACATATATCCCGACACCCTGTGTACCCCACTGTTACATATACCCGGACACCCTGTATACCTCACTGTTACATATACCCGACACCCTGTATACCCCATTCTTACATATAACACTGTTACCCGGACACCCTGTGCACCCCACTGTTACATACACCTGGACACCTTCTGAGTAACCCACTGTTACATAAACCCCAACACCCTGTGTAAAAATTCTCACTGTTACCTGGACACCCGACACATATACCCCGACACCCCGTGCACCCCACTGTTACATGTACCCCGGCACCCTGCGCACCCCACTGTTACATATACCCTGGCACCCTGTGTACCCCACTGTTACATATATATCCTGACACCATGTGTACCCCACTGTTACATATACCCTACACCCTATGTACAACTAACACTACCCCACTGTTACATATACCCGGACACCCTGTATACCTCACTGTTACATATACCCGACACCCTGTGCACCCCACTGTTACATATATCCCGACACCCTGTGTACCCTACTGTTACATATACCCGACACCCTATGTACCCCACTGTTACATATACCCTGGCACCCTGTGCACCCCACTGTTACATATACCCGACACCCTGAGTAACCCACTGTTACATATACCCTGGCACCCTGTTTACCCCACTGTTACATATACCCCGACACCCTGAGTACCACAGATATACCCCAACTACTTTTGCCTTTCTCGAGTACTACAAATGATAGGGAAAGTACTCACACGCCCTTAGTGAGCACGACAAAACATCTTGCACGCACAATGGCTCCCCTCTAACATGAACGCGCACTATTCCTGTCACGAAAATATTCTCAACACCAACTGTTGTAAAGAATGCATACAGAGAACAACTTGACCCAAATCCCACCATAGCATTCGCCCAAACATTCTTACGCAGAAGAAGTTTGAAAAAACTACATTTGTTTACATATCTCAGCAAAACTAACTCATTGTTCAACAATAGAAGTGACAGATGATCGTACGAAATCTATAATCTTATTCACGTCTTCGGGTGTCAATAGGTCCACCCTGTATGGGAGTTAGCTATACACCGGTATATTCTTTCAGAAGACTGATATTGACTGATAGCTTGCAAAGCAGGTTTTTTATTCAAAAAAATCACGCGACACAGGATTTCCTGGAACTGCTATTCACCCTGACATTGAAGACACTTGTTGGTACCGTAAATAACATAATATGATTTGTAAATAGCTCTCCGATATGTGACCTGAAATAGTACAATCGTACAGTGAGCGCGAGAGTACATGTTGGTCAACACTGCAGAAATATGACAGTGATATCAGTGAAGTCCTGACCACGCAATGACCGCCTCCTTGGTGTAGTGGTTAGAGCGTCCGCCCGGAGATCGGAAGGTCGCGGGTTCGATCCCCGACCGCGTCATACCAAAAGACGTTAAAATATGGTACTTGTTGGTCCCCTGGCGCTCGGCATAAATGGGTACATCAAGGACTGGTCGGCTCGGAGTCAGTTTAATGTGTCTGAGTGGGGTATTCATGCTTCACTGCGGCATGGTATCTCAGTGAGCACTATAAAACCAGCTTCAGTCTACTGCAGAGAAAGGGACAGCCAGGTGGTAGAGAAGCACGGTCACAGACAACGTTATTCATTCATTAACCTGTGCTGTGCCGTCTCCATCCGTTCTCGAACACCTGGCTGTCCGTTTCTCTGCACTCCTCCCTCGTAACAAATAGTGAACTGTGTCAATATTTTAATGATAGATTGTTAAACAACTTTTTTATTTTTAGGACAAAAATTCTGCAAAACACTCATAGAGTTGGTATGATGTTTTGATTATGATCAGCGTTTCATTGAGTATTTTATGTTTATTAGTTTTCGAGTTAGATTGCAATTCATCGGTCCGCTTTTGAGCCAAACGGACTATAAGAGCGGCGTACACCTATAATGTGTATTAACCCAAAATATAATAATAATAATAATAATAATAATAATAATAATAATAGTGGGTATTTGTAACCGCGCCTATATCCGTGCATTCAATGCTCGCTCAAGGCGCTACAAAAGGAGTAAGTGTATGTACGATGTTGATACGAGACTACAAATAGTTGTAGTTAAAAGGGAAGAAAAGATCTAAAAGAAGGCTCTTGAGAAGTAATAGGTTTTTAGAAGGGACTTGAAAGAATTGAAATATGCATATACAGAGCAAAGCTATTTCTGAATTTTTGAGTGAGCAAATGCGGTTTGACGCCGTCGTCAGCAATAATACAATTACATGTATACCATAAAAGCTGAAGCCTGTGTTTGTCGTTTTTTTGAAAATAGATAAGTGACGAGTGTCAACCTAAAGCAAAGGTGACTGAGCAATCCAGCTTTCAGCCACACGAACCAACCTAACTCACTGATCTTCTCATGTTACAGGGGCGGTGGGGTAGACCAGCGGTTAAAGCGTTCGATCGTCACGCCGAAGGTCCGGCTCGATTCCCCACATGGGTACAATGTGTGAAGCTCATTTCTGGTGTCCCCGATGTGATATTGCTGGAATATTGCTATACGCGGCGTTTAATCACACTCACTTACTCACTCTTTTGTTAGTTCTTAATCCAAACTCGGAACGCTGGGGACTTAAAACGTGTTACGCCGATCAACCGGAATTTCTTTCCTCCCCAACGGTGATATTGTTTCGGTGATATTCTTTCTTTAAAGCGGCGAGAAATCATACTCACCAGTCTTCGAAATCCACCAGACCGCCTCCGTGGTGTAGTGGGAAGTTAGAGCGTCCGCCTGGAGAGCGGAAGGTCGCGGGTCTGATCCCCGACCGCGTCATACCAAAAGACGTTAAAATATGGTACTTTGTTGGTCCCTGCCTGGCGCTCGGCATTAATGGGTACAACAAGGACTGGTCGGCTCGGAGTCAGTATAATGTTGTCTGGAGTGGGGTATTCATGCTTCACCGCGCCATGGTATCTCAGTGGGCTAGCACTATAAAACCAGCTTAAGTCTGGGCTAGTACAAGCAGCCGCACATACACATACACACGCATACACGCCGTCATATGAGCGAAATATTCTCAAGCACGACGTAAAACCCAATTTCACCTCACCTCACCTCGAAATCCACCAGGGTTGTGAAAATGACAGTATTGGAGACACCTCACTATTAGAGGTAAGACGGTAGTGTAACACACCGCGTAGCATTGCTTGTCACAATGGTTCGTTTATATAAAACCGGGTCTTTTGTTTGCATTGTTGTTTATTCAATCGCAGCGATTATATAAGCGATTACAAGACACGCCACTGAAGTGGGACTACCCCTCCTCGAAGGTCTGTATGTTCAAGCTGGTAATGGGTAGTTAGGATCTACCTGTTCACAACTCCCTTGTATTGTGCGGACGTATGTTTGCGTGATCGATCTACCGCCACAGAGACAAAGACGTAATCAATACACAAGCAGAGAAGCAACCGACCATGTCGTCCAGAAAACCGCCACCCAGCACCCAAAACCGTGCCGTTTACATCACCACGGGTAAATTCTTCACATATATTTCTCTTGACAAAATAGAATCTGTAGAAACATTACATTATGATCTAATCTGCTTTTCTGATTTCTTAAATGTTGAAAGGGTTTTGTCGATTCTGTTTGCCTTAAACATTCTCTGTCCAGTTTTGTAACTGTTCAGGTTTTGTAAGTTGCAGACTAATAGAAGACATTATAGTCATTAATTGCTGTATCACTGCTTGTATACTGTATCTATATACTGCATGTGTAGAGACATGGTCTACATGTTGGGCAACCAGAGAAATGTGAACCTGAGGATACCTTCCTACAGTCCTCGAGAGGTCAGCAGGTCCTTTTGCACGACAAGGATGAGGGTATATATATGAGAGGTAAGCAGATGGAAATGGTGACCGTATAAGTGGAGGAGTGAATGTGGACACTGAGAAGGTAGACGGATAGGTCTCAAGCAGACAGACTTGTAGACTGAGGTGTAGTGACGTCTGAACAGTCAGACGTGCACAAAGAAAAAGACGTGTAGACATATAGACAGACGTGTAGGCAGATATACAGACGTGTAAACAGACGTGCAGACGATCAGATAGACGTGTATACAGATAGACATACGAGCAGACAGACGTGTAGACAGACGTGCAGACATACGTGCAGACAGATAGACAGACGTGCACACATACATGGAGACAGACATACGTGCAGACAGATAGACATACGCGCAGACAGACGTGCAGACAGATAGACATACGTGCAGACAGATAGACAGAGGTGCAGACAGATAGACACACGTGCACACAAACGTGCAGACAGATATGCATACGTACAGACAGATAGACGTACGAGCAGACAAACGTGTACATGGATAGACGTACATGCAGACATATACATATACGTGCATACAGATAGACAGACAGATAAACATACGTGCAAACAGACGTATACACGGATAGACAGACGTGCACACAGACGTGCAAACAGATAGACATACGTGCAGACAGACATACGTGCAGACAGACAGACATACGTGTACACAGACAGATAGACATGCGTGTAAACAGATAGACATACATGCAGACAGATAGACAGACGTGCAGACAGATAGACATACGTGTAGACAGATACGTGTAGACAGATAGACAGACTTGCAGACAGACGTGTAGACAGATAGACATGCGTGCAGACAGATAGACAGACGTGTAAACAGACAGACAAATGTGCAGACATATAGGCAGACTTGTAGACAGATCGACATACGTTTAGACAGATAGACAGACGTATTGACAGATAGACGTGTACACAGATAGACGTACATGCAGACAGATAGACAGGCGTGCAGACAGATAGGCAGGCTTGTAGACAGATAAACAGACGTGCAGGCAGATAGACAGACGTGCAGACAGATAGACAGATGCAGACAGATAGGCAGACTTGTAGACACATACGTGCAGACAGACAGACATACGTGTACACACACAGATAGACATGCGTGTAAACAGATAGACATACATGCAGACAGATAGACAGACGTGCAGACAGATAGACATACGTGTAGACAGATACGTGTAGACAGATAGACAGACTTGCAGACAGACGTGTAGACAGATAGACATGCGTGCAGACAGATAGACAGACGTGTAAACAGACAGACAAATGTGCAGACATATAGGCAGACTTGTAGACAGATCGACATACGTTTAGACAGATAGACAGACGTGTAGGCAGACAGACATACGTGCAAACAGATAGACTGACTTGCAGACAGATATACAGACAGACGTGTAGACAGATAGACATACGTGCAAACAGATAGACAGACGTGCAGACAGATAGACATACGTGTAGACAGATACGTGTAGACAGATACACAGACGTGTAGACAGATAGGCAGACGTATTGACAGATAGACGTGTACACAGATAGACGTACATGCAGACAGATAGACAGGCGTGCAGACAGATAGGCAGGCTTGTAGACAGATAAACAGACGTGCAGGCAGATAGACAAACGTGCAGATTACCAGATGAACAGACGTGCAGACAGATAGGGCAGACTTGTAGACAGACGTGCAGACAGATAGACAGACGTACAGACAGATGTGTAGACAGATGTGATGATGCAGACAGTAGGCAGACGTGTGCACAGAGAAAGACTCGTTGCAGACAGATAGACAGACGTGTAGACAGACATACATGTAGACAGATAGACAGACGTGCAGACATGACCTTTAGATGCGACAGACCGACAGGAATCCTAGAAACAATGATGCACCTCCTTCGATGCACGTATTTTCTACATTTCATGCATTTACTTTGTTTCCTTTCTCTCTGTCCTTTTCCTCTATTTGTATTTACCACCCCTCTCCTGTCATTTTCCATCCTCTGTCCATCCACCTTCCTAAATCTTCCTTCTCTTTCTCTCCCTCTCTCCCATCCCTCTCTTCCTCCCTCTCTATCCATCATCCTTCCTCTCTTCCTCTCTCCTCTCCGTCCTCTCTCTCCCCATCCAACCCCTTCCTCTCTCTTCCTCTCCACATCTTAACACTCTCTCTTCCTCTCTCTCCCCATGCCTCTTCCTCCACCTCTCTTCTTCCTCCTCCCTCTCTCCTCTCCTGTCTCCTCCCCATCCCTCTTCTCTCCTGCCTCCCTCTCTCCCATCCAACTCCTCCTCTTCTCTCCTTCCTCTCCGTCCCATCTCTCTCTCTCTCCTCCATCCATTCCTCCTTCTCTCTCTCTTCCTTCTCGTCCTCCTCTCTCCTCCATCCTTCCTCTCTCTCCCCTCCATCATCCTTCACTGTCTCTCTCCATCCTCTCTCCCATCCAACCCCTCCCTCTCTTCCTCTCTCCTCCATCCTTCCTCTCTCTCCCTCTCTCTCTCTCTGCCTCTCCCTCTCCTCCATCCCTCATCCAACCCTTCCCATCCATCTCTCCTTCCTCCCTCTCTGTCTCTCCTCTCTCTTCCTCACCTTCCTTCCATCTCTCTCTCTCTTCCATTCCCTCTCCATCCATCCTCTCCTCTCTCCCTCTCTCCTCTCTCCCCATCCAACCTCTCTCCCTCCTTCCTCTTTCCTCTCCATCCAGTCACCTCTCTCTCTCCTCCTCTCCCCATCCAGCCCCTTTCCTCTCTCTTCCTCTCCCTCCCTCTCTCCCATCTCATCCTCTTCTCTCCATCTCTCTCCCTCCACCCCTCTTTCTTCTCTCTTTTCCTCTCTCTCTCTCCTCTATCCATCCATCCTTCCTCTCTCTCTCCTCCCATCTCCTCCATTCCTCCTTCCTCTTCTCTCTTCCTCTCCTCTCCATCCCCTTCTTCTCTTTCTTCTCTCCTCTCTCTCATTATTCCCTCTCTCCTCCATCCTCCATTCCTCTCTCATCTCCTCCCCTTCCCATTCCCTTCCTCTCTCCTCCTCTCCTCCAGCCTCCTCTCTTTTCCTCTCCCTCTCCCATCCAGCCTCTCTCTCTTCTCTCCCTCTCTCTCCCCATCCAGCCATGTCTCTCTCTTCTCTCCCTCTCCCTTTCTCTCATTTCTCCCTTCCATCTTCCTCTCTCTCTTTCCTCTCCCTCTCCATTATTCATCCTCTTCCTCTCTCTCATCCTTTTCCTCTCTCTTCCTCTCCATCCCTTCCTCTCTCTCCTCTCTCCTCTCTTCCATCCATCCATCCTTCTCTCTTCCTCTCCATGCTCTCTCCATCCTTCCCTTTCCTCTCTCTCTCTTCCTCTCCCCTCTCCTCGTCCGTCTCTCTTTTCCTCTCCCCTCTCTCTCTCCCCAATCCAGCCTTCCTCTCTCTTTTTCCTCTCCCTCTCTCTCTCCCCATCTCCCTTCCCTCTCTCTCTTCCTCTCCTCTCTCTGCCTCCAGCCTTCCTCTCTCCTATTCCTCTCCCTCTCTCTCATCCAGCCTGCTTCCTCTCTCTCTCTTCCTCTCCCCTCTCTCTCTCCAGCCCCTGCCTCTATCTCTCCTCTATCTCCTCTCTCTCTCTCTTTCTCCCCATCCAGCCTGTGCTCTCTTTTCTCTCCTCTCCATCTCTCTCCATCAGCCCCTTCCTCTCTCTTCCTCTCCCCTCTCTCTCCCCATCCAGCCCCATCCTCTCTCTCTTCCTCTCCATCCAGCCCTTCTCTCTCCCCATCCAGCTATCCTCTCTCTTCCTCCATCTCTCTCTCCCTCTCTCTCTTCCTCATCCAACCCTGCCTCTCTATCTTCCTCCTCTCTTCCGTCAACCTCTTCTCTCTCTCCTCCTCATCCAACCCCATCCTCTCTCTCTCCCTCTTCCTCTCTCTCTCCCCCATCCAGCCTTCCTCTCTCTCTCACCCCCCCTCACTCCCATCCAACCTCTTCATCTCTGTCACTCCTCTCTCTCTCCCCATCCAGCCCCTTCCTCTCTCCTCTTCCCTCTCCCTCTCTCCCCATCCAGCCCCTTCCTCTCTCTCTTCCTCTCCTCTCCCATCCAACCCCTCCCCTCTCTCTTCTTCCTCTCTCTTCCTCTCTCCTCCTCTCTCACTCCCATCCAACCTCTTCATCTCTCCTCTCTCTCTTTCCCCCATCCAACCCCACCTTCTCTCCTCTCTATCCTCTCTCTTCCCTTCCAAGCCCTTCCTCCCTCACTACCTTCCCTCTCGTCCTCCCTCTCTCTATCGCCCTCCCTCTTTCCCTTCCTCTCTCTCTCTCCTCTCTCTCATCGCTCGCCCTCCCTCTCCCACACTCTTTATCTTCCCTCATATTCTCCTTCTCCCTTCCCCTCTCTAACCCCTCTCCCTCCACACTCAATTCCTCTCTATCCCCATGCCTCTCCCACTTTCTCCAAACTTTCTCTCCCTTTTCCTCTCTCTCTGCTCCCCATCCCTCTCTCCCACTCTATCTAGATCTCTTGAATGGTTGTGTATTCATATATTATCTCTCTCCCCTCTCTCCTGACTGCTCAAGTGTTCATGTGTTATTTCAGGATCTGTCCAGGGCTACAGAATGTCTCCTGTTGAAACAGTCGAGGGCCAATTGTCGGCTGGCCGTCTTCTAGAAGTTGCGGAGCAAGACCACTTGCCAGTAAATGGGGCTATTCCGTACCCACCACTCCATGTATGTACCCCAGTCTGCGCTCTCGTCAGTTATGCCACAAACTCTTATTCTAACATGTGTCTTCTTAAAACATCAAACACCCCCTCTCCACAGAAAACACCACATACACCATGAATAAAATGCGATCCTGAAACCTAGCTACCCGATGCCGATTCAGATCGAGAACCAAAACAGATAGTGACTTTTTGGGCCTGCCATATTATTACCAAAACGCACAACTCTTGCTTATTGCTGGAAACAAATTGTAAGGACAGAAATAATAATAGCTAACATCCTTTCTTTGATTAAAGTGAGTGAGTGAGATTAGTTTTACGCCGCTTTTAGCAATATTCCAGCAATATCACGGCGGGGTACACCAGAAATGGGCTTCACTCATTGCACCCATGTGGGGATTCGAACCCGGGTCTTCAGCTCTTTGATTAAAACGTCATTTGTATGTACCCAACTGTTTTTTCTATGAAATAGTGAAGTTGTTATTGTGTAGTAGCCTTTCATGGGGATGGGTTGCTATAACACCAGTACACTAACGCTTAGCCTCTGAATATATATAATTTTGATTGTAACATATAAACCCATTTAAATTGAAATGGAGCCCTGGGGAGACCAGAGATTCAGAACCTGAGGAAATCTAGGAGTTGCTTCATTTAGGGATTTAGCATTGCAGGGAGGTTTAGGCTGAAGGGGAAATGATATGGTTCAGGGAGTGTGAGGCAGACTATAACACCCGTTTTTTTCAAGTTTTAAAACGTAACGAAACTTTGGGATGAACAAAATATGGAAAACACGAAAACAAAATACAAATGATCTAATAACTTTTGGTTTGGTTTACTTTGTTTGTTGTTTAACGCCGCAATCAGCAATATTCCAGCCATGTGGCGGTGGTCTGTAAATAATGGAGCCCGGACCAGACAATGCAGTGGTAAACAGCATGAGCATCGAGGTACGATGACATGTGTCAACCAAGTCCACGGGCCTGACCAACTGATCCCGTTAGTCGCCTCTCACAGCAAGCGTCTTCAAGAATCTGGCTGTAAAGACATCCGATCTACGCAATTGGGAACCGATGACTTGCGTTAACCCAGTCAGCGAGCCTGACCACCCGATCCCGTTAGTCGCCTCTTACGACAAGCATGGGTTGCTGGAGACCAATTCTACCCGGATCTTCACGGGTCTAATATACGGAAAACACTACATAGCGCTGACGCTGATCTTGGTGTGTTCGTTTCAGGTTGTGCGGTGGGGTAACGTAGTGGTTAAAGCGTTTGCTCGTCATTCCGAAGACTTGGGATCGATTACTACATGGGTACAATGAGTGAAGCACTTTTCTGGCCTCCCCCGTGGAAGTATTGCTGGAATATTGTTTAAAGCGCTGTTAAACTAAACTCACTCGATTCAGGTTGGCGACAAGGTTACAGTGCGCCAGTTTCGAGCTGACCGTCAAGAGGTTGGCGACAAGGATACCAGTGCGCCAGTCTCGACCTGACCGTCAAGAGGTATTTCTGCCAGCGACAGTGAAGGCTCTTCCGGAACGTCCAATGTCTCGACATGGGTTTTATACCGTCAGTCTCGACTTAACTGCAGTTGTTGTAGAGGTAAGGAAATCTACGTTTAATTATGAACTGTCTACCTTCGTTCAGTCACAGCACCGTTGTTAATTATTTGTAATTTTGGCAAGTTGTAGTTAGTGAATGATATTTAATGTCACAACATTATTTGTTCATATCATGTCAGCTTACTTCAGAAAGAGAGGCGGTGCGGTAGCCTAGTGGTTTAAGCGTCCGCTCGTCACGCCAAAAACCCGGGTTCGATTCCCCACATGGGTACAATGTGCGAAGCCCATTTCTTGTGTACCCCGCCGTGATATTGCTGGAATATTGCTAAAAGATGCGTAAAACCCAACTCACTCACTCAGTAGACTGTTTCCTATTTCAATACAATGGAATAGCCCAAACACAGAGACAATTGAGAGATTGAGAGAAAGATTTGATTAGCATAACAATCTTTCTAGCGTAACAATATCTAAATATTCACTCACTTACTCACTACTTCAGAAAGAATGCACAGGTCTAGGATCTTTGGTGAAACCCACAGCTGACAGAAAACCTAGGAATACTATCAGCACGAATGTGGCCATTGAATCAACAACCATAAGCTCCAGCCACACCCAAGGGGCTTAACTCTGCACAGCGAATTGCAGAGAGTTGTTATGTTAAACCTTTTTTAGTTTCAAACTTAACGCTCAAAATTAAAACTTCGTTTGAACACATTATAGATGGTAAATAAGCAAGCCGTATTCGGGGGAACCCAGGTTCTCCCGGGGGAACAATCAGCGGACTGAAAAGACCAACTTTAACCCGGATTCCTTGTGGACATTATTCTGTCCAAGTACATGTACAGAGACCCGTGAAGATTCGGGTTAGAACTGATCTTCAGCAACCCATGCTTGTCGTATGAGGCGACTAACGGGATCGGGTCGTCAAGCTCGCTGACTCCTGTCATCCCAATTGTGTAGATCGATGCTCATAATGTTGTTCACTGGATTGTCTGGTCTAGACTCGAAAATTTACAGACCGCCGACGTATAGCTGGAATATTGCTGAGTGCAGCGTAAAACAACAACCAAACCGAACCCAACATGGTTCAGGACCTATGTTCGTTTACTGTTAGGGATGGTGCGTTAGCCCCGATATTCAAACTTTGGCTCGTAACGCCGAAATCCCGGGATTGATTCCGTACATGGAATAATGCATGAGGTGCATTTATCGTGTTCCTGATATTGCTGGGATATGGTTAAAGTATCGACAATACTATCTAATTTGTATTTGTGTTAGGTTGTTTCAACAGAAGTCATGTTGAATAACACCTCCCTCGTTCTGGTGCAGTTCGGAGTTTGATAACTAAAACCCTACTTTCCATTTACTCCCGCTGTATACCTTCAGCTCAATGAAGGTAAAAATGCTGATTTTTCATAATCCTAAATTATCCAAGGGCACCAGCAAGTTTCGATATGAAATACACAACATGTCAGGTAAACTATGGTGATATTAAACAATTGGGCGTTATTTAACTTCTCCAGGGGCGGTGGGGTAGCCTAATGGTTAAAGGAGCGCTCACCACGCTAAATACCAGGTTCTATTCCCCACATGAGTACAATGTGTGATATTGCTAAAAGCGGCACAAAACCATACTCACTCACTCTTCTGAGTAGTATAATGTTAAACATGGGGAAACTCCATCACGCACTCGCGATGTTGGAAATTTAGCTAGCGTCGCTGTAAGGAGTAAAGCACGTCACATTATGGATATTCCGAGATATACGTAGAGAAAAAAATAAGGGATCAATGGGCAAGTGTTCTCTTTATTTGCGCTTCCACGTTTCTTCAAAAGCGTTGTATCGCATAGCTTGTGAAGAAACCTGAAGCAAGTAGCGAAACACTTGTGCTTTCATGTGATCCCTTATTTTTTTCCCTCTGCATATAAGAAGGGATTTATACTGGACACATTGTATCTACATCAAATTCTTTTGAGGTTTAAAGATGATCTTCCCATATTGTCCGGAGATTGGTCTTATGCACCAAATCATAGATAACATAGAGGTAATTATCAACATCCGGGACTCTGCTCTTGGTTGGGTCGCATTACATCATCACGACCCGTCGCGCTGTTAGCGACCAATAGTAGGACGTGTGATATCGACAATAATTCGAGATATAGTGAAATACCGGTTACCAGGCAACGTGTGGTATGCCTTATTGTCCTGAGCGATGTTCCACGGAGCGACCGTAGCAAAAGCTTATGTTAAAGCGCTATGATCACCTTGCGCCTACGACAGCCATGCAGCAATGGGACCCAACGTTAAAAGGAACATTTCTAAGTCAGCTTAGTTTACGCCGCTTTTAGCAATATTTCAGCAATTACACATTGGGGACACCAGAAATGGGCTTCACATGTTGTACACATGTGGTTAATCGAACCCGGGTCTTCGGTGGTAGCAAGCTAACGCTTTAACCACGAGGCTACCCCATTGTTCGAAGTTTAACGTGGGTATCATACCAACGTTTGTAATGTAGGTTTGTTGTGTTTAAGTTACTGGTTTCTCTGACAAGTAGCTTTTATCATAAAATTTGTAATTGTTTGGTCAAATCCATGTTACGATAATCATTGACTGGTATATTGAATTTCCTCATAGAATTGTAACCTGTTAACATTTTTAAATGTTCTTTTAAGGGTGTTGAATAAGATTTTATGAACTGCCAAACAGACTTGAACAAGCTATAGTCCGTTTTGGCTCAAAAAGGGACTGATGAATTGCAATCTAACTCCCCTGAAAACTAATTAAACATATAATACTCAATGAAACACTGATCATAATCAAAAACATCAGACCAACTCTGTGATTTTTACAGACTTCATGTCCTTAAAATAAAAAAGGTTTTGTTGTGTGTGTGGTTCAGGGGTGTTAACCTACATCAAAAACATTGCCATGCCATGGTATTGCTGGAATATTGCTGCTAGCGGCTATGTAAACCAACTCACTCACTCACTCACTCACTCCAAACCAACATTCAATCGACAACGTTATGTCTGTAAATGTCTAGTATTATTAGTAGATGGTCGGCACACTGGTATGTTGGAGGTAATATATTATTAGTTAAGTTTTCATTTACCTATAACTGAAGTATTTAGGTACATATTGAGTTTGTTGTTGCTAAGGAACATCTTATGGCGTCAGCTGGTTTTGATTGGTTTGGGCTTTGGCATGAAAAAGGGACATATACTATTTACATATCGTCTTTTTAAAGATTTTTTACTGGTTGAACATTGTGTTGAAATAATTCTACCTAGATCACAACGTAGTGTCTTGAGTAGATTCCGTTGTAGTACTGTGACGGATATGTCAACCCGTCATGTGTATTTCTTACTAGAATACACGGGTTTTGCTCGGTTAAGTATGTTACTTGTCCGTTTTTTATGATGAAAAGGGAGAAAACTCCAGTTTTGTTGTGATTTTGTGAGTTTGGCGCCATGTAACACTCACTGCGAATAAAGAAGAATGTTTAACTTCCCAAAACGGGTTGAGGTTTATGTGTTCACAAGTAATACAGCAACACGGCTGTCACAGTACGTGGTAGTAGCTATTAGAGGAAGACAACAACATATATAGGAAGGTGGGGAAATACCGGCCAGATATATGTGGGTGGGGTATTGTCCGGGTGGGGTATTGTCCGGGTGGGGTATTGTCCGGGTGGGGAAATAGTAGGTGGGAAATTGACCTGGTGGGGAAATTACCGGATGGGAAAATGACTGGATCCCAGTGGAAGAATTGCGTAGATATTCTCGTCCGAAGTCTCCTCTTCATTAAAGAGATTGTACTCGCTATAGTAGAAATGCTGTTGAGGACGAATTACATTTTCTGGTAACTGTAATCTCATATATAATCTTTGGAAAGAAATAACCAGTGTCCGTCCTTTATTCCCATCTATGTCAGCAGTAGACACAATGGTATTACTTACTACTAATCAGTTTATAAACCCCTTTGCTGCACTCCTCCATACTAGGTTTAGGCGCCGAAATATCTCGGTAGGATACTATTTATTATGTCAGCATTCATTTAGCACCACGTTTGCTATTTTTATATTTTATGCTTTTGAGTTTAAGAACAGGAATGTGTGTGTGTGTGTGCGTGCGTGCGTGCGTGCGTGCGTATGCGTTCATTTGTGTGTATGTTTGGGCTTGCCTGTGTGTATGTGTTGGTGTGTCTTTATTACCAATGTTTTTATTTAAGTGTGATATTTGTGTCTCATGGGCCATATGGCCGGATGCTGTTTTTAAGACCCTAATTCCACTAAATGTCTTTTATTGTAATTCAGCATGTGACACAACAATAAACTATATTTCTTCTCTTCTTCTTCTTCTTCTTCTGTAAACCAACATTCACATTCGGTACTATACATGTATGTCAAATTAAAAACGGAGTGAAGGAATATTTTAAAACAAAGAAAATACAACAAGCTAAACAGTGTTGGGGAATAAAATAAACTGACGAGTAAGATGCATTTTACTTCATCGTTTTGCTGTTTGTTTGTACTTTGTCAAGTTTTAATAATTATGTCCAATTTATGCTTTAATACAATTTACCTCGATCTACATGGGCGAGACTCCCCGTGGAAATGCTGTTGAGGACGAATTACATTTTCTGGTAACTGTAATATCAGATACAGTCTTTGGAAAGAAATAACCAGTGTCCGTCCTTTATTCCCATCTACGTCAGCAGTAGACAAAATGGTATAACTTACTAATAATCAGTTTATAAAGCCCCTCGCTGCACTCCTCCATACTAGGTTTAGGCGCCAAAATACCTCGGTAGAATAGTTTACTCTATTATTATCAGTTATGTCAGCATTCCTTTTCCACCATGTTTGATATTTATATATTTTATGAACGGGAATGTGTGTATGTTAGGGCTTGAGTGTGTGTATGTGTTGGTGTGACTTTATTATCAATGATTTTATTTAAGTGTGATATTTGTGTCTTGTAGGCCATATGGCCGGATGCTGTTTTTAAAACCCTAATTCCACTAAATGTCTTTTATTGTAATTCAGCATGTGACACAACAATAAACTATATTTCTTCTCTTCTTCTTCTGTAAACCAACATTCACATTCGATACTATACATGTATGTCAAATTAAAAAAGGAGTGAAGAAATATTTTAAAACAAAGAAAATAAAACAAGCTAAACAGTGTTGGGGAATAAAATAAACTGACGAGTAAGATGCATTTTACTTCATCGTTTTGGTGTTTGTTTGTACTTTGTCAAGTTTTAATAATTATCTCCAATTTATGCTTTAATACAATTTACCTCGATCTACATGGGCGAGACTTCCCGTGCCCAGAGATTTAAACAGTCCAGGTTTATTTCAGTCTCATTTCTCGATTCTAAAGGGCGCGGATTACTTGTGGGTTTATGGTTGCATTAAATCAAATAATTGAATACAATTTACGCACATTTCGTATCGGATTCATCTTGGAGCTCCAGGTAATCGATAGAGACCATCTCTCATAAATAGTGAAATGACCTCATGGGCTGGGCCTATTGACCCTCCTTATTTTGACCAACCTATGATTTCTTTTGTTGCTGTTGAATAATTATATATTTAAAGAGAATATTCTCGAATGTCCAGTACAGCGTATCGCTCGGTAACCGTAAGTTAGTAGCTCGTAAAAAAATTATACGAGATAACGGTATTTGGTTTGTGCTTTAAAAGACGGACACTGCCGGTGAGTCTCCACACTCGGATCTCATCTCCAGACAGAAACACCTGTGGGAGCCAAGATGAAGGTGAGTTGCAGTTGCTTCCTATTTCAATAGTATGCCGCTCAGTATGCCGGCTTCTAGGGTGTTAGGACTCAGTTGTAACCGTTTTCAGATACACACGGAACTGCTGTGATATCGCTTGCTTCAGGAAATGCGTTGCCAGAGAAGTTGTGTCAAGTTTCTGCGTTTCGTTGCAAACCTTTAAAGGAAACCTTATACGTTTGTGTGTGACAGAAAGTGTGTGTGTGTGTAAGGCTTAACAACATTCGTATTTTTCATGTAAACTTAACTATAAAACATTAAACTCCCTTTTGAATAGTAGCCATCCCAAACTTGGTGCTGTGGTGGGGTGGTGGGGTAGCCAAGTGGTTAAAGCGTTCGCTCGTCACGCCGAAGACCCGGGTTCGATACCCCACTTGGGTACAATATGTAAAGCCCATTTCTGGTGTCCCCCGACGTAATTTTGCTGGAATGTTGCTAAATAGCGGCGTAAACTAAACTCACTCACTCACTTTAAATATAACAGAAGTAACTTTTTAAAGGATTGTTTTAATATCTGATTGTTTTATATGCGCTAGTTATGTCGAAACTGATGACATAATACCTGAATATCAAAAACGTAGTTATATACTTTCAGCTGTTAAGACGCCACTCAAACAGATATTCAAAGTTAAAACAAGAGCGTATATTCTGATGCTTTACTGTTTTCAGTGTTTCTCCATTGCCGTCATCGCCATCTGTGTGGTTGCTGCCACGCGACTACCTCGACAACTATGGCGCCGCTTCGCCAACAACGGCCACCCTGTCAGCCGGTGTCAACAACTACGGAAAGGACAATACGCTAACCACAAAACTGGCCAGAAATACAACACTTACGACAACGCCGCCAACAACTACAACAAAGCCGCCAACAACTACGCCAGCCACGGCAACAACTACTACAAAGCAGCTGATCAAGCCGGCGCCAAGGGAGACGCTGCCTCCAACTACTACGGAAACAAGGCCGCCGCACACGCCAATAACGCTTACGGTGACGCCGGACACGCCAACAAAGCCGGCTACCACGCCGCCGCCGCCAACCACTACGACAGGAAAGACAACGCCGCAAGAGCTGCTGCTTACAACAACCACGCCAACAACAAATATTACAACAAGGGGACGTTTTCAACACCGACGTCAAGTAATGGCTTCGACAAGAAATACAACAACAAGAACTCAAACGAGGGTGGCGACTATGAAATCCTTGATACAAGCAGTGCTCACAACCTCGCCGACTACCGTGATCACAGTGGAGCCGCCAACTACGCCAGCCGCGACCACGCGAACAAGAAATACGCCGCCGATGCCGCACACGCTCAGAAGGGCAATGGGTACGGACGTGTCGCTGCAGCAAAGCAATACGGAAACGGTAAATACGGTGCCGCAACCAGCCACGCTGCCAACAACGGTGCTGCAAACCACGCCGCTGCTGCCAAGTTGAGCGAAGCTGCTGAAGCAACAAATACTACGACAACGCTCACGACGCTTCCAAAGACCAGTACGACAACTTCTGCAAAAGAACGCCGTCTACGACAGAAACAGCGTCGCTAACGCCGCTGCACAAGCTGCACACAACCTCGCTGGCCACGGCAACCACGGCGCCTATGGAACACGCGGATTCTCAGGTGTCGTAGGCATTGGAGGTGTCGGAAAAGGAAACGGTTACGGGAACAACTACGGCAACGGTTACGGCAAAGGTCAACAATATGGTCAACAATACGGTCAGCATGGTCAACAATACGGACAGAACGGACATGGTCTGTAATGACAACGCCGCCCATGGTCAACACGCCAACCATTATGATTCCGCTGCCAATGCTGCCAATGTCAGGAATGGTAAATATGGATCTCACCTGAATGACTACCAGAAAAATAATGCCGGCGCTGCCTACCACAGGAACGGCTACAACAACGCTCAAGGCAACGACTACTACAAATCCGGTGCTGCTGCTGACAAGAACAACGCCTACAGATCCAACACCGATGCTGCTGCATCCGACAGACACGGATACGACCACGCCGGTGCTGATGCTGCCAACCTTTACAATACTCGAAGCTGCTGCCGCCGACAGTGCCAACTCTGCCTACGCCAAGGACAACTACAGACGCAATTACAACGACGCTGCCAAGAAACATCATCTGGTCAAGAAGTTCCACCACCGGAACAACGCCGGCGGTAACAACTACGAACGCCTCAACTACAACAGGAAGGACTACAAGGATAACTTTGCCCAGAACGCTAACGCTGCCAACTCTAATGCCAACAACTACGCTCAGAGGTATTACAACGATGCCGCCAACGCAGCAGCCCACAACAACGACAAATACGCCGCCAACAACGCTGATAACGCCTACAAATACAATGACGTCGCTCAGGCCGCCAACGGCAACGCTGCTAAGAAATTGAACTACTACAGCCAGGACGCTGCTAAAGCTGCCGGAGACAGCAACAATGCCGCTGCTTCTAAATACAACGACTACAACAAAGCTGCTGGTGCCCGTGCCAACGTCCTCAACAACTACGCCCACGACAACTATGGCTCCAATGCCCGTGCCCATTCTAACGGTCATGGCGCTGCTACCAACCACGCCGCCACCACTCAACACGGAACCCCTACAACAACGGCTTTCGTGTTGGTCAAGGAGTTGGTATCGGTAATGGAGTTGGTGTCGGACAAGGAGTTGGTATCGGTCATGGAGTTGGTGTTGGACATGGCGTTGGTATCGGTCATGGAGTTGGTGTCGGAAGGGAGTCGGAGGGTTCGGAGTAGGAAATGGCGTCGCCGGCGTTGGATTCGGCCGTGGCCTTGCTGGAGGTTTCGGAGGCGCTAAGAGCGGCTACCAGTATTACTAGACACAGACATAAGCCATAGGTTTATTGGGATCACGGGGTTTAATGATGTTTTTGTCTACAATTTTATACTGTTTGATACCTTTACGTACTTCTTCAGAAAAAATTGTGGTGTCCATCTTTCCTTTTGTAAATATATTTTCCATGAACTTACAGACATAATTTTGTTCTTAGAATTACTATCTCGAGGTGACTAAATCTAACACCGTTTCTCCAGCAGTTTGCCAATTAGATTTTTCGAACCTTTATACTGCGATATCACATCTTTCGTCTATGTTGAGATACATCTCTCATTGAGAGTGATGCAGATCTCTCAGTCATGTGTTGTCCTGCTTGTCTGAATAAATAATTCTTGAACATGATCTAATTTTCTGTTTTATGTCAGGTCACTAAGTCTTATAAAGCGGCTTATGTAGAAATACATAACTGGACAATAATTCCGTGAGATTTCACGGGGGTTATATTCTATCATTTACCTACACGCCAATTGAGCTTTGTTGGTTACACTTGGAACATACATAATTTATTAATCCTAAATAATGAGAGACATTGTTCATTTACTGTACAGTCAGAGAGATTACAAAGGTTGATTATTCCACCATCATTCCACTGACTAAGTTTAATGTACAGGACTATTTGCGAGATCATGTACTCAAAGGCGAAAGTAACTCTCATTATAAGAATAAACTAATAATAATTGACAATAATAATATTTTGAGGATAGGATTCTCGGCAGGATTAGAGCCAGCCAATAATAGTGTATCTATCGGGGACATTTACGTACCGATCTGTAAATGAGAAAGATCAGACGGGTGCATTGTTTATAAACAAATGTGACATCGCCCTTGTCAACCTGTGGTTGAGTTAGAATTAACCATAGGACTCGGAATCACTCATTTTAGTGATCTGTTCGCATAATTTTCTTCGTTGTTTTGCCTTTTACGTGGAATGCAATGTGTTTTGTCAGACTGTTTTAACACAATATGGGAATGAGTGAAGCTTTATGTTCTCATGCTCGATAATCTGGTAGTAGGAAATACAGTCAACAGACTGATGAGGAAAAGAAAGAGGCGTATCCTGTTGTTTATTGACAATGCTCCGTCCCACCCTCAAGACATAGTGCTCAGCAATGTTACAGTGAAATAGATAACTTCATTAAAATCTGTACAAAAATAAAAAATTCGACTTTTTAGTCGGTCCCAAGCTGGTCCGAATTAGACAGAGTGCACTGTATACCAAACAGATTTCCATTTTGAAAATTCATTACCAATATTGCATATCTAACGTGTTTGAATTTTCGATATCGTTGAACCTTATAAAGGACTCAGCATTCAGCGACAAAAAATCATATTCCTAATCACACGAAACCCTCACTCTGGCAAGCATGCAGAATCTCCTTTGTAAGATTCTGTACTACTTCTATGTTAAATGTGATTTTATCTTTTTTCACAATTGCATACTGAAAAAAGAAGGACATTACCGAACACTTTTATATATTTTTTCTACCAAAAGTCCGTTTTAGTTATTTTTCAGCATTCAATGCACTCTTTCGATTCACATACTTCCCTAATTGTAAGTTTTATCGTCATCATTATTCATAGTTATTTAAGAGATTTTAAATGACATACTCTAAACTAAACCGGTAACAGAGACCTCTAGCTAGAACCTAAAGTATGTAGATTTCATTGACATTCGTCAGGGTTCGATGGTGTATTTCCCATAAAAATGACAACGGCCAAGCGTTACTAAGTGCACGTGAACTTCAAGGGTGACTTGTCATCTTTCGCTTGAGTGGTTTCTGGAGAGAGACATACAGCACCAGCACATGGATGTCTGTAGTGTGTCTTCGCACACGATACATGTAGGTATGGTGGAACGTGTCAGTCGACAAATCCATCAAGTACCCTGACTGACTGACTGACTGACTGAGTTTTGGTTTTACGCCGCTTTTTGCAATATTCCAGCAACATCACGGCTGGGGACACAAGAAAAATAGGAATCGACGATCCTGACGAACGAACGATTGTCGACTTCGACCCAGAACCTGATCCTTGATCTGGAACGGATCCTGAAGTTCGATCATCCTCATTATCCGAGTATTCTTAAAGTGTATTTTGATCTGTATTCTTAAAGTGTATTTTGTGTTGTGTTGTGTGATAAGTCCTTCATTTCTTCTTACGAGGAGATCCTCAATAGTACATGCTTGTACACCTTCACTGACACATACACCCTTGAAGCTCCAAGCAGTAACGAAATACATTTTACGATGTAATAAATAGGCCAGATGAATACAAAGCTATAATTACTTAAAGGGATTTTTCGGTTATGAACTTAAAATAATTAAAGTAAAAAAATAATAAAACATCGATCAAACGTTGCTGCTTTCTATTATATTGTCGATAGGGTCCTACCAGTAATACGCAAAGGGGAGGAACTAGTTATTGAAAATCACTCGACCAGAATTACGTTGGAACCTAACGGTTAGGCAATGGACCTTTGAGATCCCGTGAGGTATTAAATGCTGACTTTACAGTGTTGCATGATATAGAAACATTTAAACATGAATTGGTCATAAAACGCTTAGTTTGTGAGTTAATCCAGTGGGAGCTTGGTGACCTGCTGAGTCCACGTACCGAGTTGATTATTGTGTGCTGATGTTGGTACTTTAGTGGGGCAGGGTGGCTTTCCATTCCTTTATATCATTTTGTGTGTTGGTGGTGCACCTCCTGAAGAAACGTTAGGACCCTTCGCTGATTTTGACCCCCTTTGACACTTCAGTGAAGCGGAAGACTTTTGGATTGGTGTGTTTCCAAGAACTGTTCCAATCTTCTTTCAAATCCATTATCCAAACTGTGATGTTACCTTTTTGTAAAGTTAAAGTTGAACATGCAAATCGATACAAATACTGCACTAGACGTACATACCGATTAGTCCTTATCACCTACGTCATCACTGTCATGTAACGTCTTGTACAGTTTGAACATGCACAAAAATGTGCTAAACGTATAACCCCATTTGTCCAAATAATTAAAACTGATTATATTTTGTAATCTTTAGTGGTGTTTTTCTTAACATGATGAGGGTACAATGTATTGCTGGAATATTGTAAAACGATACTCATTCACTCACTCACTCAAACCTAACAAGACGACTTGTACTGAATGTAACCACAGATATTTTCTAGCGGTTGACATTTTGTTCGGAACTGTTTAAATTCCTGTACTCGGCAGAAAGTCGTTTCCATTTTTTATTGATACTTTAAGGCCAGACTATGCACACATGAACATGTAATAGCTATGGAATACTGTAAGGGACATTCTCGCGATCTCGCATTCTCGCGATCTCGTCCTTTGGAAACAAGCTAAAAATGCCAAAAGTGCGAGAATGCGAGATCGCGAGAACGCGAGATTTGGCCAAAATCTCGCGTTCGCGAGAATGCGAGATCGCGAGAATGTCCCTTACAGTATTCCATAAATAGCTCTTAGTGGCATAATTAATTTTCTAAAAAATATAATGCTGGTATAGATGTCAATGGGAAAATTTCTGGTTTTGTGAAACCTGTACTATGATCACAGTACAACTCTTTCATTAGAACTATACAGCCGTGAGCATAAATCTGAGAACTGTCTGAGAACTGACTGTGGAACTACTGTCTTTCCAACTCATGGGTTATTACCTGTGCGGATTAGGGTACTTATTGCCCAGTTATGTATTTATAGATAAGCCGTTTAATAAGGCTCAGTAACCTGGCATAAAACAGAAAACATGATCATATTCAAGAATTCTTTATTCCGACAAGTAAGACAACGCATGAGGGAGAGATTTACATCAGTCCTTGAAATTAGTCAATCTCAACATAGACGAAAAAATGTAACACCATGGTCTACAGGGGCGAAACATCTTGATTGGTAAACTGCAGGAGAAATGGTGTTGGATTTGATTACTTCGGTCTTATAATTCGCATTAGAAAAACAAATTCTGTAAGGTTTCATGGAATCTATGTTCACAAATGGAAAGATCGACAACACATAAAAGTACGGTCATAAGCGTATCAAATTAAATTGTGAAAAACATATGGTTGAGAGATCTGCATTACTCTTTGAAAGTAGCCACTATACACGAAAGATGGAAGTAACACCACAGTCTAAAGGGTCGAAAACTCTAATTCTACCATGATTTCAGTAAATACTGGATTGTGATTGGTTAATCAAAGTCAGTCAGAGGTATATAATCACGTTATATACCAGCGCTTTGAGCATGCACTAGTTGCCTGGATATGTGCGCCATATAAATATCCTATAATTAGGAGATAAACATACTGTGTTGGAAAATCAGAGGTATATAACGAAATTATAATAGCTCTAAATTTGATTTAAAACCGAACGCGTAGCATTATATACCTCTGATTTTTCAACACAGTACGTTTATCTCCATTCTGCCATAACCGCGTTATTAATATTTAAAATAAATGCATACCGTGTTGGAAAATCAGAGCTATATAATAATATAATATACCTCTGATTTTCCAACACAGTATGTTTATCTCCTAATTGGCAAACTGTTGGAGAAACGGTGTTGGATTTGGTCATTTCGAGATAGTAATTCTTAGAATAAAATTATGTCTGTAAGTTCATGGAAAATATATTTACAAAAGGAAAGATAGACAACACACATGTTTGTGGAGAAGTAAGTAAAGGTATCAAACAGTATAAAATGGTGAAAAAAGCATCAATAACCCCAGTGATCCCAAAAAACCTATGGCTTATGTCTGTGTCTAGTAATACTGGTAGCCGCTCTTAGCGCTTCCGAAACCACCAGCAAGGCCACGGCCGAATCCAACGCCGACGACGCCATTTCCGACTCCGAACCCTCCGACTCCCTTTCCGACACCAACTCCATGACCGACACCAACGCCATGGCCGACACCAACGCCATGTCCAACTCCAAAGCCGTTGTTGTAGGGGGTTCCGTGTTGAGTGGCGGCGGCGTGGTTGGTAGCAACGCCGTGTGCGTTAGCATGGGCACGGGCGTTTGAGCCATAGTTGTCGTGGGCGTAGTTGTTGAGGACGTTTGCGCGGGCAGCAGCAGCGTTGTTGTAGTCGTTGTATTTAGAAGCAGCGGCATTGTTGCTGTCGCCGGCAGCTTTAGCAGCGTCCTGGCTGTAGTAGTTCAATTTCTTAGCAGCGTTGCCGTTGGCGGCCTGAGCGACGTCATTGTATTTGTAGGCGTTATCAGCGTTGTTGGCGGCGTATTTGTCGTTGTTGTGGGCTGCTGCGTTGGCGGCGTCGTTGTAATACCTCTGAGCGTAGTTATTGGCATTAGAGTGGGCAGCGTTAGCGTTCTGGGCAAAGTTATCCTTGTAGTCCTTCTTGTTGTGAAGTTGAGGCGTTCGTAGTTGTTACCGCCGGCGTTGTTGTGGTGGTGGAACTTCTGACCAGATGATGTTTCTTGGCAGCGTCGTTGTAATTGCGTCTGTAGTTATCCTGGCGTAGGCAGAGTTGGCACTGTCGGCGGCAGCAGCAGCTTGAGCATTGTAAAGGTTGGCAGCATCAGCACCGGCGTGGTCGTATCCGTGTCTGTCGGATGCAGCAGCATCGGTGTTGATCTGTAGGCGTTGTTCTTTGTCAGCAGCAGCACCGGATTTGTAGTAGTCGTTGCCTTTAGCGTTGTTGTAGCCGTTCCTGTGGTAGGCAGCGCCGGCATTGTTTCTCTGGTAATCATTCAGGTGAGATCCATATTTACCATTCCTGACATTGGCAGCATTTCGGCAGCGGAATATATAATGGTTGGCGTGTTGACCCTGGGCGGCGTTATCGTACAGACCATGTCCGTTCTGTCCATATTGCTGACCAAGCTGACCGTATTGTTGACCATATTGCTGACCTTGTCGTAACCGTTGCCGTGAAGTTGTTCCTGTAACCGTTTCCTTTTACCGACACCACCAATGCCTACGACGCCAGAGAATCCGCGTGTTCCGTAGACGCCGTGGTTGCCGTGTCCAGCGAGGTTGTGTGCAGCTTCTGATGCAGCGGCGTTAGCGACGCTGTTTCTGTCGTAGACGGCGTTCTTTTTGGCGAAGTTGTCGTACTGATCTTTGGAAGCGTCGTGAGCGTTGTCGTAGTATTTGTTGCTTCCAGCGGCTTCGCTCAACTTGGCAGCAGCGGCGTGGTTTGCAGCGCCGTTCGCTGGCAACGTGGCTGGTTGCGGCACTGCATTTACCATTACCGTATTGTTTGTTGCAGCGCCACGTCCGTACCCATTGCCCTTCTGAGCGTGTGCGGCATCGGCGGCGTATTTCTTTGTTGGCGTGGTCGCGGCTGGCGTAGTTGGCGGCTCCTGTGATCACGGTAGTCGGCGAGGTT